GTGACCTAGGGATGAATAGCATAGTGTCGGAAAGTGTGGTACAAGCAATAAAAAGAGCAATTTTAACAATAAAAACTGCAGTTTGGGCAATGAAAAAAGCAATTTTAACAATTAAAGAGCAAAAGAGCAATAAAAAGAGCAATTTTAACAATAAAAAGAGCAAATGAGTAACTTTAACAATGAAATACGCAAATCAGAATCAGTGAAATACATATACACGTGTATATTTATGACATATCGAAAGAATTTCATGTGTTTCGTGTCATTTAAAGGTCATCCTTCCCAGGGTCAACATGAATAGTATTTCTGCAGTCAAACCCTATATGCTTGTCACCAGTGTGACAAATGCTTTAGACAGAAGTCTAATCTAGAGAGGCACATGGAACTCGGAGGTAGGCAAAAATGGGAGTTGATTGCACTTGCCCGTAAAAATTTGGGGTAATTAAGAAATTAGCAAAAAATGACTACGCCGTAGAGGCCATCAGTTTGACCCAAGGGTTTAATCCATGGCTTCGAACTGGCAATTCCTGGGATTTCAATTCATTCGCGATGGTGCATAACCAACTCCTATATACTGGTGTAGAAATCTGAATTACTAGTCTTGGGTTTGTTGAATGAAATGAGTTTTGCTTTGTCTTTACGGCTTTCCAAAGACGGTGTCCATCAAGCCGTTTTCATGCACAGCAACTAGGGAAATGCGGAATCGTCAGTACCTGTATATTTGATTTTTATCAAGTTTTGCGAAATCACCGGTAAATATTTGCAGTACTCTGAGTTGGAAAAGGGAAAGTAATGGTAACCTTTTGCCGTGCCATTTTGGTAACTCGAATTCCGATATCAAACTTATGGCGAATGATGCACGGATTAAAATGACAACATTAAGTTTCGGTCAGATCAAAAATTAAATGTACCGTAGGTTACCGTTTTGGAAAATTGAATGGGCTATGCGCCTTTTGCGACGAGTATGGGGTAAAAGCAAAAGCTTTAGTGATTTGACATCCACTGCATCCTCGATGTCATTTTTCTGTAGTTGAAATTCCAGCAACTAGGGACTGTACGCATCTTTTGAGCTGATTGTATCATTTTTCTGCTTGTTTTTTTCGGGCAGACCTGATAGGCCAGTGATGGGTCAACAAATCACAAGAACGAGCAGCAGTTGCAACGCCTTTGTTGCAACGTTGGAGTGACCCAATAAGATATGGGACGTATGGTTTAGGAGAATTTCTCTTTGAAAATGTCAGATTATTCTGCGGTGGAAAGTAATCGAAATTTGTTGTTACAACAAATGAAAAAAACATTTTCATTATTAAATAGGGAGGCGAGTGCCGCCCGACTGTGCCACCCCTGGATCTTTTACTGTCGAATCATCAATAACAAACATTCACTATACACCTCAGGGCTTTCATGCTGAGATCATAATAGAAGAAAATGACCCGAACACGTTCGGGATCGGTTTCATCGTCGATAATTTATGAAATTAAGATTAGAAATGAAAATAAATAAGCATCGATCCTTTAGCTGACTGTATTCATACCTACAAAATTGCCTTGTGGGTTTTGCGCCCACGGAAATGAAAAAAAATGTGATGAGGGAAAAATCGAAAAGGTATACGGTGTTGACCAAGCATTCAGGTGCACGGACTCCCGAAATTCGCAAGGAATCGCAGTTACTGGCTTCCATATAGGACTCTTCTGGGATCTCGGGGTTCCCGGCCCACCGCACTTCCTCCCTGCCCATCCATTTAACCCTAAAAAGGATTCGAGCGACCATGCAAGGGAGGAAACGAGACAAGCCCCTAAAGCCCTGGTTTTAGGCCATACGTCTCGAACCTGTACTAAGGCGCTCACCTTGACTTCGCGGACAGTCCCAGCAGAAGAGCGTACCCCGTGGGCTAAGGTACTGTTGGTATTTGGCGGGGTGAATTAGAGTCTCTTATAGCTACTGATGACTGACAGCGAGCTTTGGGAAAATAAAAAGCCACCACTGGGATTTGAACCCACCGTCTGACGTTCTGATAATCGCCAGCTTAACCACTCCGCCGTTTCAGATGTATTGCTTTTCTAGGGTGGCTGGTCGCCGCCAGGAATACACTTTTTTATTTTACGGCGTAATAACGCCCTATATTAAGGCGTTATAACGCCCTATTAGACCTACCGCCCAGGCATTATATCCATGTTATTACTGAACATCAGGACTACCTGCAGACAAAGGGGCTTTTATCACATACCTTGCTATTCGAACCGTCCAAGGATGGCCACAGTAACTGCAAATACTACACGCATAAGCAGAGCAACGCGTGTGTGTGTGCGTGGACGCGCGTTATTACGTCGAAATAGGGTGTTAAAACGCCATAATAGGGCGTTATTACGCCTTAAAGTAGGACATTATAACGCCTTAAAATAGGGCGTTATAACGCCTTAAAATAGGGCATTATAACGCCTTAATAGGGCGTTATTGAAATTGAGATTTCTGAAACACAAATTAAATTACTGTCTGGTCCCTAGGCTTTCAATTTCTTTTGAATTTTTTGTGGGTAAACCAATTACATTTTTCATTATTTTAATTAAAAGAGAGTTTTACCTAAGTCTAATTGCAGCCATTTTTCAAGTGGCAACCCTCAACTTCCTTTGGCACTTAGGACCATTTTCAACCGTAGTTTTTAGCCACTCTGCTCTCATATGAAAGCTTAAAGACCCAGGGAGTTGATCCTGGCAACGATTTATACAATCTCACCATTCTGGGGGCCAAACAATCTCCTTTTTCAAAAGATACTGCGGGGGCACTTTTAATGCTGATGAGCTGGCCAGAAATTCTCATTTGAATTAGCGGACTGCTCCATTCCCTGCTAATGGGAGGCACGTGGCCCGCTGATTGGTAAGGGCGCCACCAACCATTGTCAGCTAGCTTCGCACGAACCAACCTCGCATTACGCGTACGTACGTGAATCGCTAGCGCTAGATGCTACGTTGACATTGACAGAAAGCAATATTGTGCGAGAGAAGATCACCAGGCAAAGAAGAATTTCTCTGGCAAAATGATACTATAGAGACACTGCAAAGGTTAACTTGAGCAAAATGGCCGAAGGATACGACATTGTGCCCCCTCTGCCCCCCAGGTACCGCTTCAGAGACCTTGTGCTTGGAGATCACTTTGGGGAGGAAGATGGCAGGTGAGTTTCTGTCGTTTATTTGGCATTTCTCGATGGGATTAGTGCTACGCACACAANACCGTAAAATTGTCACCCAGTGCGCACTTTGCAACCCGTTTGCGCACCGTCCCCGTGGGTCAGCTGTCGGAGAGCAATGCAAAATCGACCACCATCATTTTTTATCCCAATTTCTACAGGCTTGGTAACTGTGTTTGTTAACTTTTAAGAATTAGGGCCTTGACCATTTGAGTCAAATTGTGGTACAAAACTTTGCGTTTTCCACTGCTTGCTTTATTGGAAAAAAATGTCAGAAACTCACTGCCTGACAAGGAAAACATTGAAAAAAGTCCAGTTCGTTTGTTGTTGGCATCACATTTAAAAAAAGTAATTGGGCCTTTATGTGGAGGTTACATTGGCCCAAATTTTAAAAGCAAAAGGAAACTGCCGTTTTGCATTGTTTGTTTTAATATTGTCGCAGTTTGATTTACTATTACACCTGGCTGTGTTTATAAATGAAATTTCACCATTTACTGAATAGAAAAGACTGCTTTTCATAAAATTTAATTTTGAAAAATTACTCGAGAGCATCACACCATAAGGTACCCCACAGTTCTGGGGATAGCCCTAAGGTTCACGGATACAGGATACAGAAACCTATCACATCCAGTTCAGAGACTGATTGAAAAAGGTTTTGACAGTCTTTGGCATCAGTCAAGTTCGTAACCAGTCCCAAACTGATGAAGCTAGACAGTGCAGTTAGAGAGTATACGTAACTTCAGGTGTGCGTTAAACTCACTCATATACTTTGCCTGTTTAAGGAGATGTGTCTATGTTTAACCCTAACCGCCTAGGCCCTTTTGGCTAGGATACACCCTCAATCCTTCAAAATCCTCCAGTATTCAATACTTGTGCTGCTGGGCAAGATCCTCATGCTCCAAATATATCATGATTAAAGTATTGTTACCTGCAGCAATTGCCTTACAGAAAATGGAGCTGTCCAAGGACTTTTCTTTGCATAATGTGAAATATGACATAAGACCTTCCAACAGTGTACAGTGGGGGAGTTTGTATAATGCAGTGGAAGTGCGTCACAACCAGTAAATTGGAATCCTCCAAAATCCTCCACACATTTCTGTCACTGTTTATACATCCTCAAGTCCTCCAAAATCCTCTACACTCTCCTGGGCCATTCAACCACAATCCTCCAAAATCCTCCAGGGCTCACTTGCAATACACCCCCAATCCTCCCAAATCCTCCGATGTTTCACACTGCATGCAACCTCAGTCCTCTGAAATCTTCCAAAATCAGCCGGAGGATTTTGGAGGATCGAGGATGGTTAGGGTTAATTTGTTGGATGTTGAATTGTCCAACACTGTGTAAACATGTATGCCCCTGGCCAATGCTTTGCTGCAGCCTCTGCAGACAATGACATCCAGGCTACATGTACGTATTTATTACTTTCAGTGTGATATAAACACTCTGTTGAATCTCCTTACATACATGTACATGTATCCCACTGGGACAAGCCAAAAGAAACATGTTTCCTCCACGTAGTTCACTTGGCATACCCAAGGAAGATGAGGTTTGGGCTATCATTTTTAGCAGCAATTTTAATTTTGCCTCCCCCCCCAACACAAGACCTGGATACGCCACACCAAATTGTACAGGTTACATCCACAGCTCCTATACAGAAAACCTACTCTCTGCATGTACTCGTAGTTAATTAGCTAAAAGCTTCGGAATTCTCTTGTGACTTCAGCGATGATGGAGGTGGAGACTGAAGACACTTTGAGATTCTGTCTTGGGCATCTCTCATATGGGGTGATTAGGTTATCATAATACGGCTGTGGAAGACCCATGTTGCCATGATTCCCACAGGACTACTACATTATTTAAAAAAGAAAAATAAAATGTAGAGAAAAACCCACCAAACTGAGATGTGTGCGTGTATTTTCAGATCAACAAAGGCTAGAAAAATCAGGAAAAAAATCACCATGAATATCTCTGACAACATGAAATTTTAAAAGAGAAATCAATCCTTTACATGTAGCTGGAGGGTGTTTGATGTCTTGGCGTCTTTTGGACACCACAAAGGCAAAGTTACACAGCACTTGGATGCCCTTCTTTTTCACTCAAGGCAAGTGTGGATGCCTGATTTTCAGGGACTGGCCCTAACCCTGAGGAAACACCCTATTCCAAAAAAAAAAAGATGGAACAAAGGAAGACTGCACAGAGGGTCGTGCATAAAAGCTGGTGAGAAATTATGCTGTGAAAAGGAAGTGAGCTACATGTAACATGAGAAAATTGATGAAAAGATCAAAGAAGCCATGATATCATGTACTGGGGAATTAATTTTTTCCCTTTAGTGTCATTGAGTTTTCAGGTAGGCAGGCCGCTACGGTCAGCTTACAATTTAAAGTACCTAGAAGCCATGATATAACATATTAAGGTATTTAATTTTTCCCTTTAGTGTCATTTGAGTTGTCGAGTAGGCAGCAATTGTGTCCGCTTATTGACTGTCATGGTTGGACTAGTAGAGCCAATTTGATTATGAATTTTTTTACTAGGGTAAAATGTAATCATAGGCAAAAACAGCAAAAGACAGCAAGACCAAAACAATAAAAAGAAAAGGTTTGGGCTAGTTTTGCTTTACAAATTTAACGAACCAATATTTGTTGTGGGAGATCATGATATGAAATGGCCAGCCTAGGCAAATACGGTACCCTACCAGCACGTCTGTCAGATTCATGGCCTTGTGAGGCCACAGTTAAGGAGCTTTAATTTGTAAGCTCAGAGAATACAGCCTGAAACTGAGCAGCAGTTGGCGTTCATTTTATGAATTTGTTTTTCCTGAGTGTAGAAATCCTGTTGCTGGACTTGTAGAAGCAGCTGACACGACATGGGCCATCCAACAGTCATTGATTTTTATCTACCAGTAGAATATACCAGTACCGTCTTCAGTCGGGGGCAAACTCAGACAGGGGAGGGCTAGCGTAACAGAACGGGGTCACCTAAGTAAATATAAATTAGGTTTCAAATGATCTGGGAATTTAAATTAATTTCCAAGGCAGTTCTGAAGTGTGCTTGCTATTTCTTTGAGGAAATAAACATCTAACATTTTTTGCTGCTTCAAGTTCATTAATTCATGAGTACAGTAAGTAAACTACTGATTATATGTACGTGAAAAGACTTAATCATCAGAAGGCATACAGTATGTGACACGTACTTCCCAGTAGATGTGTGGCAGGACTTGCATGTATTCACTCACTGATGGGCAAAATTTAACATCTGCATGTGTAGGCTGTAATGAATTCCAACGTTGGTTGTCGGCTTGTCAGGCCTTGCCGTATCACATTGTCACTTGTTCGCTTTTGTGAGCAGAAAAGGACAAATGCTTGTCCTGGTACTTGATACTGTGCTTGTAATGGAACATTCCTTTGAGGTTTTGTTCGACAAAAATAGTACCTTTGAATGACAACTTGCACAGGTCCGTACTTTCATGCTCTGACCTGGCAAAATGTCATGGAGCATTTACACTATGAAACTTGAAGTTCGATTCACTGATCACTTGCAATTTATTGTCAACAGCCTGCCCTGTCAGTAATGGTCAGGTATTTTGAAAGGGCTTGTCCCCCTTTTCCCCTTTGTTAAGTGCAGTTCAGGATTGATAGAAATTTTAAAAGATTAAAAAAAAAATAAAAATATTTTTAAAATACATGTAGCTGCGTGGCTGTTTAACTTGCAGTTTGAAAGTGTCCCTTTTTATACACAATTGTCATTTTTCTGAAATGAGGTCTTTCTGGATCAGCCTTTAAGGTTTTAATTGGTTTAGATTTATTTAGGCATTCCTTTAATTTTGCCTTTACATCGAAACCTCAGGGAGTAGCAGTTCAAGCTACATTTGAGCCTGTTGTTTTGCACCATTGTCATGAGACACTGCAATTTTGTTTTGAAAATTTATTAAAGAATTACGTGTTTCAAATTGACGGGTATTTTAAGTTGGCATTATAAGTATGCAGACGTACTGGTATACATGTACTAATGACAGGGCCGTGACGTACTTACGCGTCCAGAAGTTTGACTGTGTTTATATTTGCAGTTATATTCACAAACAGTCTGCATCATGATTTGCCTCGTATTAAGGTTCTGCTGCAGAGAGACACTGAATGATTAATCTGACTCTGGTCTCACATCATTTGCCTCACGTAGTGCACTTCCACGCCTCACGGTGTGGGGGCTGTGCATGTGTCAATGGAAAAATTGTGTCATCAACACTGGCCATCTTCGACATTTGAAGCAAGATATGGGACGGATAGAACCCCCCCCGCATTTGTGTTGGTCATTGTTTGATTGGAATCTCAGGAATTCTGTACAGACTTCTAGGGGGGATGTGTCAGGTAACAATAGTCCACAGTGTGTATGGGGATTGGACAGGTAGGGGGGATACCCCTTGGTCCCATATCTTGCCTGGTATTATCTTCGATGCCAAGGTGTTGTGAGATCAAATGAATGCGGGACATGGCAGTGATGCCATTTTGCCATGGCATTGTCAGCAGTCGTGTTTTTAGCGGTGCGGGACCAAGTTAAGTCTAGGGACTGATAGCCACACCAAATATAGAAAGTACATTATGTGCACAGACTGACGGCACAGG